AACAAATAGGAGGCAGGATACGCTGGATCCTTCTAAAATTCATTTTTCCTAGGAGCAGGAGCAGACAAGACTTGCACCCAGAACTCAGGGCACATTTGTTTCTGGGAGGGGAAAAGGGCAGCGAAGGTGTTAGGCAATAGGCTGCTTGAGGACACAGTGCAAATATTGAAAAAGTTTTCTTCCTTAATTTCAGCACAATGGACAAATGAAAGGAATAATTTACGGAGATTCAGGTACAGTTGTAGTTGTCTTGCTCAGAGATCTATAAGTATATTGCAAATTTAACTAACAAGGCAATTTAACTAAAATAAGTTCAGGCAAATACAGTATATGTAATATAAGCTGTAAATAAACCATATGAAATGAATGCACGTTTAATAGTAAATTAAAAGTGGTTTTAACAGTTTTATCTGGTAATGTCCCACATTTTTCTTGAATGCCCTACATTTTGAGGTGGCTTTTCCTCCTTTGCGGTTAGCTCGCCCTGCCTTCACCCCAGCCTTTTTAACATACCCACACCCAAATCCAGGGTTCAGCCCTGGCCCCTCCAAAACCATTTTTAGGGGAACCTTCCCATTGCCTTTAATAGTCCCAGCCGTCAGTACCACTATCCCTCATTACACAGAGGGAGGAAGGAAGGAAGGAGGGAGAGCAAGAGGCTTTAATGGCTGTGATCTTCTTTCCACAAGCCAATTAGGCTGGCTTTCAACCGGCTGGCACTCCAGTTAGGCACTTATTTATTTTATTGTATTGTATTGTATTTAAACAGGTGGCATGAAGCAAGGTTCCTCTTGGCATCAAAACCACCTGCCTCCCAAATCCCCTGGGCCTTAAAAAGACCAGTTTGGTGTCAAAAGGCAGGGGTGACCACATTTTAAAGATCCATACAGGTGCTAAACCAACCAAGAAAGTGCAGGAATCGGAGAAAGCCTTTCCTGTTTATATGGTTTTTGCTAAGCAGCTGGAGCAGATTCAGTCTCACTTCCAAGTCCAAGTAATTGTTAAACCAGCAGCAGCTTTAGATTGGGTGGCAACTCATGTGGAAGCTGCTGCTCTCCCTTGTAAGCCCTGACTGCCCTAAAAACGCCCAGTTATTCCTGATGAATAAATTACCATGAATTACTCCTCTTCTGCTTTCCAGCTAGCAGCCGCCCTTCAAAATGGCTTAAGTAAAAATATGCCAAGACCATAATTGGATACCCTAAAGGCATCAGATCCCATCTGATCTTGGAAGCTAGGCAGGATCAGCTCTGGTTAGTACCTGGATGGGAGACAATGAATACCAGGTGCTATAGGCTATATTTCAGAGGAAGGAGCTGGCAAAACCACCTCTGAGTCTTCCTGGCCTAAGAAAACCCTAGGAAATTCATGGGGCCCTGTAAACTGACAGGTGACCTGAAAGGCACATACATACACAACTATAATTAACATCCTCAAAATATCAGGATTGCGTCAACATTTCTGCTTGTGTCATTTTAAAACCAAAGTGATGGTCAAGTTATATGTGTGATTTTTTTAAATATATATTTCCACATTACGGTTAACAGTGGAATCCTAAGATTTCTTACTTGTGTGGAAAGTGTTAAAATCATGGTTTGATTATTTGTGGTTAAATCAGTTTAGCAGCAGCAGAAGCAGCAAGCGTGTCCTCCACAAGTATTTGGTAAAAACAACTAGATCTGAGCTTCTGGTAAATAAACAGGATACACTGGTAGGTAAAAATAAATTTATTTTATTGCTACATCTAGGTTCTACAAAATAACTACTTCTTAGAGCCTTTACAGAGTGCCAGAAATAATGCATCCTGAGGTCACTTGAACTGCCCTGGCTCAGTGCTAGGAAATCATGGGAATTGTAGTTTTTTTTCTGGGACATTGAGCCTTCTCTATCAGAGAGCTCTGGTGCCACAATAAACTACAGTTCCCATGATTCCTTTGCACTGAGCCAGGACAGTTAAAGTGGCCTCAAGCTGCATCATTTCTGGCAGTCTGTAAAGGCCCTTAGTAGAGAAAATTATACTTTGGTACAGAGCTCCCTGGATAGCTGACCTCCATGTGTGCAAGTAAGAAGAAAAACATCTTTAGTCGCAAAAGCTGGTTTCTGTGTCTATGCTTGGTTAAAGCAGGCAGGAAAGTGTACTACTAAACAAAGAATCATAAAAGTTTATTACCCCAGGAAGAGGAAGGGTATGGGAAGTGACCTCTTCACAAGCAACACTGACCAAATGACCATGGAGATATACATCAGTGTTCCTGTGTAGAGCACCCCATTCTCAAGGCAAACACAGAACTACACACAAGCATTGATACCAATATTCCAACATAAAGTTGCATGGGATGGTGGTGTAAGAGTCAACATATTGCCCCAGGATATATACAGCAGAGCGGAGCTTGTGTCCCACATCACTCTGTGGAAGTGAAGAGCAGCTGGTAGGTAGACTATGACATTTCTGCCAGATCCCAGAGGAAAAAACTTGTTCGGAAGCATTGACAGTCAAGTAATATTTCCCCTCATACTCTTCATAACAGCTGACTCATTTCCAGAAGCAGGAGTACTATGTAGGCCAAGGGTAGGCAACCTTTCCCCTTTAAGGACCGAGGGACTTCAGCTCTCAGAATCCCAGGAGCTATTGACCAACATGGGACTATTGGCCAACATGGCTGAGGCTTGCCTACTCCTGATATAGGCTTACAGTCTTTTCCCATCATCACTGAACACTGATGGTCTTTTGATTCCAACAGTAGCACGAACAAGCCTGGAGTCGCTTGTTCCACCATTGCCTGTTTGGAGTAATAAGAGAAGTGTCTTTGCCTCCCCAGTGAGTCACCCAGCCCAAGTTCCCAGTTTGTACATGAGAAAATCAGGCCTTAAAGGTCAGAGGATGTGACTTTCCCTTTAATTCCCCTTCAGCCCTGGTTCCCAGTGGAAGAGTAAAATGCCTCTAGACTCCAAGGCTCCAACGAGTAAAGGGGCTACAGTTGCTGTGGACGCATATATAAGGTCGAGCAAACATTCATATATTAATGTAGTGGTCAACTGCAAAGGGTCCCAAGGCCAATTTTTTATCCCAAGACCCTCCTGTGGTCACACAGACTGGAAAAAAAATGCCCTCAAATGAAACAATACCAGATTTGGCTAGAAGTGTATTTCTGGATTTGAAAAATGCAGATTTTAAAAATCTGAAAACTGCTGTGAGCTCAGCAACCTACATCCTCACCTGGAAGATGTTAGAAAAGACAAATCCCTCCTCATTATTTATTTATTTTTTTTTGGCCAGAAAGGGGCAAAAGTCATGGGAGTGTGATGGAGTCAAGGGCTCAAAAGCCTTGGGGCCACATACGGGCCAGGGCTACACTTAGCACATCTTAATATGTACTCATAATATCCACTCTCTGTTCTTAGGTAACCAAAAGGTGAAAACCCATAAACAAGAGGAAGGCATTTACAAGTTCAGAGGCATCACAAGGTCCCCAGAAAATAAAAGAAGAAAATAAACTTGCTTGAGGTCAGGAATAAACCCCAGAACAATCTTATGAAGATAAAGCATGGGGTCATGCAACAGGGACATGAGAGATTGTTGGAAAATGTTTACATTCTCTCTCCCCTTCCTCAGATAGACAGGATTTTCCCTGCATGCAAACTCTGCTGTCCTCTCTTCTAAACATCCCATTTAGTTCTTGCTGAATCACAGGGACAATAAACATGTTTGTAAACTGGCAAACAAATCATGTGATTCAGCTTACTTCTTTTAGGAAGTTCTCTCTCTCTCTCACACACACACACACAAAGAGATTCTCTTTACCTTTACTCTCCAGTCTCCCATTTCCCTGCTCTCTCAACTTTCTTTGGAAAGTGGCAAGATAAATATTTCTTCTTTTACCTGAACTATTCATTAGCTAGTTAGGATATAGCCTCCATGCATATGTAGGTTCAAGCCATTAGTAAAGTTTTGTTGTTGTTTTTTTAACTACAAGCTATTTGTGTTGTCTTTGAGTCAACCTCAATTCCTAGAGGAGCAGTTAGGCAAGAACAGTTTCTGCTGCTCTTCTGATTTAAAACTAGACCCTAACAGGCTTGGCTTTGATACTTTTGATATTTTGATATTTTTGTTTCCTTAACAAAGGCTGAAGCTTTCGGAAACTTGAATCCCCAACAGAGACTAACTGCAACTGTAGCACTTTCTTGCAGGTCTCACTTCCATTTTGATTTCCCATGTGAAATATTGAGTATGCCAATGCCTGGAGTGACATTACTGTGCAGCCACAATGAAGCAAGGCCAATGGTTGTTTTCTGGGTATACCTGAAGTTCAGGACTTTGCAACTCCGATTTATCACCTCTAGAACTAGTGGGAAATCCATAGGAACCATAATTGTTTTGAAATGGTTATGCTTATGGGTTTTTTGCTCTATGGATTTTAGGCTGAGACAATTCCCTTTTTCTTTTGCTAAAAGAGTGGGGTGTGTATGGGGACATCCAACAGAATTTCTGCTAGCCAGCTCTGGCATTTCCACCCAAACTCATAAAAGCCTTTGCCGTCTGAGGTAGAGCTTCAGTGGCCTAGTGGAGCTTGTGCCTCAGGCAGCTTATTTTGAGTGTCATAAAAGGGCAGCAGATCGGTAGTGATTCAGTACTACCAAGGAAATGGAGAGCTTGTGGGATTTTCTGTTTCAGACATCAAAATAACTGGAGTGTTTTTGGACTATGCACATTGACATTGGCATTTTCTGTCAAGGGGTATATAGTCCTTGGATTGTTATGGATTCGCTGTTGTCTTGCAGGCAACAACATGTCTTGGCCTTGTCTGTTTACCCAGACGTTAAACCGAACTGAATTCAAGGGGATTAACTCCCTAATGAACATGTTCAGGATTGCAACCCAGTACAGTACAGCATATAGTAGCATGGAGTATATTTGGCCCTCCAGGTGTTTGTGGCCTACATTCAATTGTCCAGTCTCAACTAGAGCAAACCGATCAAACCAGTGGAAATTACAAGCGAGAACCAGTGTCGTATAGTGGTTTGAATGTTGGACTATGGCTCTGGAGACCAAGATTCGAATCCTGGCTCAGTCATGAAAACTTACAGGGTGACCTTGGGCAAGTCACACACTCTCAGCCTCCAAGGATGACCATAGCAAACCCCCTCTGAAGAAACTTGCCATGAAAACTCCATGATAGGTTTGCCTTAGGCCAGGGGTAGGCAACCTTTCCCCTTTAAAGGGACTTCAGCTCCCAGAATCTCAGGAGGTATTGGCTAACATGGGACTATTGGCCAACATGGCTGAGGCTTCTGGGAGCTGAAGTCCCTTGGCCTTTAAAGGGGAAAGGTTGCCTACCCCTGCCTTAGGGTATCCATAAGTGGGAAAGGGTACAACAAAAGACTTAGGGCCTTTACAGACTGCCAGAAATAATGCA